TATATATATATATATATATATATATATATATATATATATATGAAAAAATTGATGTGGGTGCTCAAATGAAAGGTCTCGATGAGTATAACATCGGGATGAGCTTATATCGTTAAAAATGTCAATAGTTTACGAGAATTTTATTACTGAGATTCTATGAGAATTATATTGAACCAAATTTCTGAATAAATCTCATTGAAAATACATTTGAAATAAATTTATATAAACTTATAAAGCTAAAAATTCTTACGAAATCTCATAAATCTACAACAGTATTCACTTACACAATCTCACAACTGATCAAATCTCAATCATTCTCATAGAAATAATATTAGTAATTTCTGATACATAAGTGATTTTGATCAAAACTGATAAATTCTTAAGAAAATCTATATCAGAAAATTTTTTCGTTCTGATATACTTTTTTTAAACTTATAAATTCTGATATAAAATTTTCGATATTTTATAAGAATTTATGAGACCTTTTCCACAGGGTTGGATGTCAATCAGACAAAGATTGTTTTATAACACCTGTATATCTATACACAAAATAAAAAACAATCTTCGTCCAGATTACTTTAAGGAAGTACGAGCGCCAGGCGGGGTGGGGATAGGTATCGACTCTAGCGCGGTAAGGGGAATGCAGTAACCATATGATTTTTTTCAATATATAGATATACATTTAACATTGGCTTGTGGCGCCATTTATTTTTCTTTTAATTAATACACTTTAATTAGTCGGGCAAGTGTAAATGTTTTTAAATTAAATTTATCACTAATATATTTACTTTCATCGATAAATTTTTTAAAAATATTCACCGACAGTTTTACGAGAAAAATACAGAAATGTATCAATGTTTGAAGGTTATCCCATAAGACCAATGTTAAATTGCTCAACTTTAAAGTTAATTATTTATTTTAATGATGGGGCAATCTCCTTCAAATTTTCGGAATTTGTTTAGACATATTTAAACTTAATATTAAAAAAAAATCAAGCCTTTTATCAAAAGTTGCCTTGGTGCTCTTACTTCCTTCAAAACGAATTAGAGATAATTGATGGACACTATAATACTAGAAATTGGGACTTCCGTTTCCGGTGCTATTGTGTTCAGACGTATGTTATCTCAAGTGGTTAAAATTTTCAAAGTTTTGTGAGTTTCGAGCTGTATAGGAGAGTGGGGAATAACGCAGGGGATTGAGAAAAAATCGGAGTACAGGTGGGAATATTAATCGGAGTTAGTTTCTGGGGATTGGAAGCTGAATTAGGGGTAACAGATTAAGACCTCGACGAGGTAGAGGTTAGGCAACTTGTCGGTGAGGGTTACAGAGGGTAAGAGGGGTATAAAAAGGGGAAAGAGTAAGTAGTGCTGAGTGGTAAAAGAAAGAACCAAGGATACTTTGGTAACTGTGGGACAGTTGATAAGGTAGAAAGTGGGAAAGGGGACATGCCGAATGGTAAGGAAGCTAACCAGGCGGGAAGTTCAAACTGGTTTCAGGGAAATTTTAAACTAGGGAGGTCTATAAGTGTAGGAGAATTAAAGGAGGTAGGGACTGGGGGCTAAAGAAAAGACAGGGAATCAGAATTGGAGTGGAATTTGGAAAAGGATAAAGAAGACAGGGAGCTGATTAAGAAAAGCAAGCTACAATTAAAGACAATCAATAAGGGAAAAGAGCTCAATGCGGAGGAGATGGAGACCTTAATGAAAAAGTTAGAGGATTTAGATGAAAGAATCAAGCAGGAATGCAAAAAAGTTAGTGATGAGGTAGGAGTATTAAGAATGGAGGGTAAAAAAGAAAGAGAGGAGATGAAAAAGATATGGGAGGCGGAAAAGAAAATAAAGAAGGAGAAGATAAAGGGTATCAAAGATAGACTCGATAAACTTGAGCAGGAACGCGTGATGGTAGAAAAGGTAGAGGACGGTGGCGGAGAGCGCCCTGGCAAAGTGATGGATGCAGAGAGAAGGTTAAGAAAGCTGGAATGGGGGGGCAGAGAGAAAGGAAAGAGAGTCAAGGAGAAGGAATGTAATAGTTAAGGGAGTCTTAATGAAAGAAGGGGTCGATTGGAAGAGTGAAGTAGAGAAAGTTTGGGATAAGATGGAAGTGGGTTCCGGGAAAAAAAGTATGAGGAAGATTGGGGGTCTAGATAAGGAAGGAAAAGGCCTGGTACTCATAGAAATGGAAGGGACTGACAAGAAAAAGGAAGTAATGATCGCCAAGAGTAAGTTGAAAGGGGAAGACATCTAGATAGAGGACGATTTAACCTATGAAGAGAGAAGAATTAAGAAAATCATTTCACAGGAAGCGGCGAAGGAAAGAGCTTACGGTAACACAGTGAAAGTGGGGTATTTGAAAATGTGGGTAAATGGAAAACTGAGACTGTGGGATGAGGCAAAAGGGAACTGGAAAAACCAACAGGGAAACGAATAAGGGAGGAGGATGGTAAAAAGGGTGGGGTGGGCGGAAAGAAAAGAGAAAGGAGTAAGAGGAGTAAAGAATGTACGTACCAGATTTGTTTCTGGAACGTAGCAGGGGTAAAAAACAGAGGAGGACTTCTGGGTAGGTTTAAGAAAATGGGACATCGTAGTGTTATTTGAGACATGGGCTAACAGTAAGAAATGGATGGAGGTTAGAGAGTCCTGGAAAAGGGGCTTCAAATGGGACATACAGGAGGCAATAGTTCCCAAAGGAAGGGGTAGAGCAAGAGGAGGCATACTGATTGGAGTTAAAGAAGAAATAGAAGTAGGAAAAAAGAGAAAATGGGATATAGAAGGGTGGGTGGAAAGAGAGGTGAAACTAGGAGAGGAGTGGTGGTGGCTAGTAGGGGCATACATCAATGAGGACCTAGAGAGGAAGAAAAAGCTCATGAGCAGGTGGATGGATGAGGCATGGGGATAAACGAATACTAATTGGAGGGGATGTTAATGCCAGAACTGGAACAGGCGGAGGAATTAAAGTCGGAAAAGGACAAGAAGAATGTAGCATAAGAAAATCGAAAGACAAGGTAATCAATAAGGAGGGAAAGGAGCTATGTAGATTCATAGAAGAAAGAGGATGGGCAATTCTAAATGGATGTATTGAAGGAGACGAAGACGGAGAATGGACTTTCGTAGGGGAAAGAGGCTGTTCTGTAATAGATGTGGTGATGAGTGATGAGAGAAACAGTGATAAGATCTTAGAACTAAAAGTAGAAGATAGGACAGAGTCAGACCACCTCCCGGTTTCGGTGAAGGTAATAGCTAAAGGGAGTAGAAAAGATAAGAAAGACAGGGAGACAAGACAGGGGACAGGTAGAGGATTATGGAACAAAGAAGGGAAAAACTTATCAAAAAAAAAAAAAAAAAAAAAAAAATTTTTAAATTATATTTATTTATGTTATATTTATACTATATAGTATTTATATTATATATATATATATATACATTATAATATCATATAATATTATATAATATCATATAATATTATATAATATCAAATAATATTATATAATATCACATAATATTATAATAATAATAATATTATTATTATATTATATATTATATATTTAATTTACAAGCATGTACGGACAATGTCTCGACGTCTTACCAACTCGGCCACTACAGCCGATTAAAAAACTTTCAAGAAGGACTAAAGGATGAAGAGACAACTAGAGGGAGTGTTGAAGAAGAATGGGAAAGTCTAAAAGGGAAAATCAAAAAAGCAATCAAGAAGTCACTGAAAAAAGGGACTAGAGTAAGAGGAAACTCGGGATGGTGGGACGAGGAATGCAGAAAAGAAAAATCAAAACTAGGAAAAGCTCTAAGGAAATCTAAGAGTGGGAAAATGATAAGAGAAGATTACATTAAGGAAAAGAAACAAAACAGAAAAGTCTGTGAAAGGAAGAAAGAACAGGAAAAGCAAAAGTGGGAGGACCAGGTCAAAAACGCAAGATCAGAAGAGCAGATTTGGAAGATTGTAAACGAAGGGAGGAAAAAGAGAGACGGGATAAATAAAGATATAAAGATGGAAACGTGGGATGAGCACTTCAAAGAGACCTTCGGGGGAGTAGAAGAGAGGAGAAGCTGGGAAGGATTGACGGAGGAAGAAACGGAAGAGGAAGGAGAGCTGGGAGACATCGAACTAGAGGAAGTTAGAGAAGTGGTAAAAAAATTAAAAGATTACAAAGCTCTGGGGGGAGATGGAATTCCGAACGAAGTCTGGAGATACGGGGGAGAAAAGATTGAGGCTGAATTGTGGAGTATATGCCAAAAGGTTTGGAGGAGGGAGGGATGGCCGAACGAGTGGAATGACGGAATAGTAGTTCCAATTAAGAAAAAGAGGCTGGGAAAGGAAGCAAGTGACTACAGAAGCATTACAATAACACAGACTGCTTACAAGGTGTATGTGGGTATTCTTGAGAAGAGGTTGAGAGAGGAGGTGGAAGGAAAAGGGAGGTTGCCGATTTTCCAGGCGGGATTCAGAAAGAAAAGTGGGACTATAGATAATATCTATGCCCTGAACTACTTGATCAACCGAGAAATTCACAAGGAAAAAGGGAAATTGGTGGTTCTGTTTGTGGACTTCAAGGCTGCCTTTGACTCAGTGGACAGGACGGAACTGGTAGAAGGAATGATAAAGAGAGGTGTAAACATAGGCTTAGTGAAGAGATGCGAGGAAGTCCTGAAGGAAACGAACGGCAGGGTGAGGGTGGGGAAAGATCTAGGAGAGAAGTTTTGGACCGTAAAGGGAGTCAGGCAGGGCTGTCCTCTGAGCCCGCTGCTGTTCATTCTTTTTCTCATGAGTAAGGCCTCGTGACGTTGTCAAAACATTTGGCAACGCAGGTAGGCTCAAAGATTATGGGGATCACAGAAGACAAGTAACAAACGAACGAGACACATACAGGGATAACTAAATATTATAGCTCAACAGGCCTTGTGGCTACACCTCCCCGAATGGGCCCCGCTGGGCAACTGGTCGGGTTGTCATTATATTACTGGCCAGGCCAACGTAGTCGTTGAATGGAGTTGTATTGGGGGTTTGAGATACAGTGAACAATTACGAGGACAGATACGAGTGACATTAAATTAAATTCAACTCTATTCACATTCTGTCCAGTGATAGCGTAAAAGCTGGAGGGCAGGGTTTTTCCTGGCTCGGCGAGTTGACGGTGCTTTTGTTTGGTGAGATTTGGGTTTTATTTCACGTGCGTGTATAGCTTTTTTAAGCCCAGGAAACGGCCTGTTCGAAAGGAGGCAGACAAAAGTCTCACCAAATAACTTGTTCGAGAGATATCGTGAACGAAATAAAACCGAAAAAAGTGTTTTTCAAAAATTTCAAAAATAGTGTTCTATGAAACTTTTATCAGACTTTTGAGCTGGGAGAGCTCAAATGCATAGAAATATTATTTCTTTGAACTCAGTGAGCTCAAAATATCACATAAATTATATTTTGAGCTCAAAAA